AGGTCGGCGGTGGCGGTCGGCGTTGCGTTTAGCGATGATGTTCGATTTATTTATTGCGTCTGCTGCCCAGGTCCGTGCTGCTTGTAAAATTTCAGCGAATTGTTGTGCTCGTGGCACCGGGTTGACGGGATTCGGGGTCATGGGTAATGTCGGGTGTTGTCCATAGTTCAGGTAAAAAGGCGACTGTTGGGTCGTGGCGGATGGTGAGTTGTTGAATGCGAATTCAATGAGTGGCAGCTGCTGTTCCCAGGTGGTTGGGTCGTCGCACGTGGCTCGGATGAGTTGCTCCATAGTCTGATTTGTCCGTTCTGTCTGTCCGTCGGTTTCAGGGTGGTACGAAGAACTGAACTGTAGTCGCGTGCCGAACTGCTGCCACAGGTTCCGCCAGAAGTTGCTGGTGAATTTCGTGTCGCGGTCGCTGATGATTGCTGATGGTATCCCGTGCAGTCGAACGACGGTGGAGATGAGGAGTTGAGCTTTTTCTTCGGCTGTGATCGACCAGGATCGCGTCGTTCCCACTCGCCCCGGCCGGTAACCCCGTGACGAAGTCCATCGTCACCTGCTGCCAAGCACGCTCTGGGGGTGGTATCGGCTGCAACTGTCCTGGCGGCCGCTACCGCGATGATTTCATGAGCTGGCAAGTGGGACACGAGCCACGTGTCGTTGTACGTCGGTCAACATCCCGGGCCAGTAATAATACCGCTGCAGCTGCTGCCGTGTTTTCTCTACCCCGAAATGCCCTGAGGTAACTCCGTCGTGTGCCTCCTGTAATAGTAATTCCCGTAGCAGTGTGTACCCTGGTACCCAAATGCGGTCGGTCCCGGCTTTTACGTAATAGAATCCTTTTGCTGCTGCGAACTGCTGCGAATTTCCTCCTGTGAAGAATGGATCCGTTTGGTACCCGTGGGTGAATAGGCCTGTCAGTAGTGGACTTGTCTGGGCGAGTAGTATCGCATGGATCTGGGCAGTGGGGCGAGTCGGTGCGTCGGCGATGTTCGAGGCTCCCTTTTTGTAGGTGACCGTGTAGTGAAAATTGGACTCGAGAAAATCGAGCCAGCGAATCTGTCGTGGGTTGAGGTGTGGCTGTGCGCGGAGGTACTGTAGTGATTTATGGTCTGTCCGTACTGTCACGTCTGCGCCGGTCAAGTAACAGCGCCACACTTTGAACGCGTGCACGATCGCAAGCATTTCGTGGTCGTGTATCGGGTAATTTTTCTCGGGCGGATGCAGTTTTCGTGACTCATATGCGATGGGCTGTAGGCCGTTGCCGAAGTCCTGTAGTAGTACGGCTCCGATGGCGATGTCGCTTGCGTCGGTAACGACTTCGAATGGGCGGTGTGGGTCGGCGATGCGCAGGACGTGTGGTGAACAGAGAACATTTTTCAGGGCAGAGAAGGCAGCATGCTCTTTCTCCCCCCACGTAAAAGTGACCCCCTTCCGTAACAAGTCCGTCAGCGGCGCTGTTAACCGTGCCATGTCGGGGACGAAGCGACGCACGTAATTGAGGAACCCCAAAAAGCTCTGTAGTTCCGTGATATTCGTCGGGGGGTGCCAGGCTTTCACCGTGTCTAACTACTTTGGGTCAATTTCGACCCCAGCCTCCGAAATAACGTGCCCCAAAAACTCTAGCCGGTCCTGAAAAAACTCGCACTTGGAACCCTTTGTCAGTAGTCGATGCTCGTCTAAAATCTTAAACACTGCTTCTAGATCTGCTAAGTGCTGTTGCTTGTCGGGAAAGTAGACGAGGATTTCGTCGAGGTAAACTATCACGCATTTATCTAAAAGTGGCCTAAACGCCTCGTTCATGGTCATCTGAAATGTCGCTGGTGCATTGGTCAGCCCGAAAGGCATCACGGTGTACTCGAATGACCCGTACCTAGTCCGGAAAGCTGTTTTGGCGCAGTCCGATGGTTCGACCCTAATCTGATGGTAACCTCCCCGTAAATCTATTTTCGAAAAAACCCGTGCTGTTCGCAGTTGGTCGATCAGTTCGTCGGCGCGGAGAATGGGGTACCGTGACTTGACTGTTACCCTGTTGAGCGCTCGGTAAACGATGCACATACGAAACCCTCCGTCTTTTTTTGGCGTGAACAGTATCGGTGCGGCGAACGGTGACGAGCTCGGTCGGATGAATTTCTTCTCTAACAAGTAATCTAACTGCTTCCTCAGTTCGTCGAGCTCGGGCTGTGTCAGTCTGAACTGTCGCTGTACAGTTGGCTGTGCCCCCGGTTCTAATTCTATTTGGTGGTCATGTGCTTGCTGAGGTGGCAGTCCTTCCGGTAAGTCGTCGGGAAAAATCCCGGGGTATCGTTTCAATAGTTCCTGTAGTTCGGGCGGTACTGCTGCCAGCAGTTTCTTGAAATCACTCGGCTTCTCTGCTCCTTCTACCACTGAAATGTCTACTGTGTACACGTCAGCCCCAGCAGCGACAGCCCGTTTCATGGTGACGGCGTTGACGCGTACCGTTGAAGACTCGGGCGACTGCCAGCGAGGTAGCTCAACCCAGTTACCGCTACTTCGCACAGTGCAGCTACCCGTCGTCCAGTCAATTCGCGGGTTATACCGTCGCAGCCAATCACGTCCTAGTAAAATGTCGTGCCCATCGAGTGTCGTCGCGAGCATTTCCTGTGTAAATCCGAATTTCCCCCCGCAGCGGACTTTGACTCTCTCCACCCTTTCCCGTATGGCCAGTGGAGTGCCGTCAACTAAGCGTGCATTTATCTCAGGTAAACAACGGCTAAGTGTTAGTTGCAATCTGCGTGCGGTTGCAGTATTAACTAAACTGTGACTTGCTCCTCCGTCGATAAAAATCTTCACTGCTGCTCCCTGTATTTTCCCGTGGATCAATACTGGGCAATCCGTCGCTGTACCCTCCTTATTCGTCCGAGCCCGATCGATAGCATGAATCGGTACTGTGACTCAGTGAGGGTCGGTGGGGTTGGGCGAGCAGGCAGTCTCGTCAGTAGTTGGCCCGATTCCTACTGACTGCTGGCGTTTCCCTGCCTTGGAGACTCCCTCCCCTGCTCTGCTCCGCGGCGCCTCAGCTCCTCTGGGCATTCACTCTTGCGATGGCCCGACCTGTTGCAAGCAAAGCAGCGCCCCTTAAACGGCGCGGCAGCTGCATTCGTCGCAACGGCATATACGGTGGCGTGCTCGATCGGTCCCCGAGGACGATGTCCGTAGTAGGACCCCGGTCTCGGACGGCGTAAAATGAAACGACGGGTTTAGGGTTTCACGAGGCTTGGTGCGACCCTGTTCCCTCCCATGCCAGGCATCGGCTGGGCGGCGCCATCACTGGCTGCACCTGAGCGCTGTCCCACGCTGTCGTGTTGTGTTAGTGTGCCGGACGAAATGACGATCGGCTCGTCCGATTGTGCAGATGCATTTGTCGGTGCGTGTGGTGGCGCTGGAGTATTCACCGTGGATTGCTGACGCGCGGAGTCACGTTCCGCCGTGAGCGTCGCAATTTCGAGCGCCGATTCTTCAACTTGGCGCACGAGACGGTCAAGCTGCTCCTGCGTCAACGTCGCGAGCGTGAATTCGGCCATGGCGGGGGTGTTGGGCAAGCTCAGCGAGAGCCTCTGTCGTGGCCGTGCGTGCTTACGAGAGAGCACTACGAGCGGCGGTGCTGTGTCGCTGAGAGACGTCTACCCCCCCCAAAAATTGAGATAGTTAGGAAGCGAAGGTGTGGGTGCGGTCCGAGAAGAGATCGTAGGCTATGAATACCAAGTGTTATGAGTGCAATTGAGTGAGCGAGCGAGAATTGCACTATCGAAGCAAGAGTACAATGAGCGAAGGCATGAGCGAAGAATATATAGCGAAACTACAGTGGTAACGGTAATGGACTGTGGTTGTCGCGCGACGGGCCTGGGACTGAGGTTGGGGAAAATGTCGAAGCGGAGGCCCGGAGCGCGGGTTACCCGCCGAGCCGTGAGGTCGGGGTGCGATGTGCGAAGGTGGCGGGGGGATTTGTCGATGCGAGGGTTGCGAGTGGTAACGGTGCTGACTGTGGTGCTACAGTGGTGTACGCGCTGAGCGGGGACGCGAAGTAAGGAAAAGGAGTTTTCCTTAACAGCCTCACGATTTTGGGGCAACTTTTCAAGTTCCTAAAGATTTTGAACCCCTCCTTTCGAATGTATACCGGAGCCCTGCGAAGACATGTCTTCATTTTAGTTAGGCATCACAATATCATTGTACCGCTCTACACCACATTACGCCGAAGTATAGAACGTTTCCACCGCACTTTATCTCATCCTTTGAGACCTGAGGCTTTTGTGACGGGCTCCGGGAATGTACCCTTAGATTCTACACACGTCAAGAGTCAATCCGCAATGTTCAACCAAATGCGCTCTTTTATGCATCAAAGATCTTGATGGACCAATCAGAGGCGATAGGCACACGTGGCGCTCTGACCACGAGCACTGAGGAGGGCACTCCTGGTCGCAGCCATGCCGGACCGACCTCCTCCTGCGAGCAGACATGCCACGAGGGTGGGAGGGAAATGGAGTGGACATGCAAGAGCATTGGTGATGATAATGAAGGGAGAGCATTCCTAGACGCAGCCATGCTGCCGGGCCTGCCTCATCCTGCAAGCAGGTGTGCTGTGAGGGTAGGCGTCGAAAGGAAGGAGAGAACGCGAAATGAGAAGAGGAGGGTTGGAGATGGAGGGAGAGGATTGGATTGCAGATGGAAGGAGCAGAGGGTAGATGATGATAATGAGTTGTTGAAGAAATGAGGAGGGCACCGTTGCCGAAGAACTGCAGCCTGGCCTCACGGCCCACTCCCATGAGATGGATGGAGAGGATGGGGTGGAGAGGGTGGGGTGGAGAGGATGGGGTGGAGAGGGTAGGAAGGAGAGGGTGGGAAGGAGAGGGTGGGTGGAAGAAATTTGTGTGGAAGGAGGAAGACCACAGGCACCACGATTCTCAGGGCATACAGTACAAACCATGGAAAGCCCAGCAGCACATCATGGCACATAATGAGCACAGTATGCCTAAATCCTACCCAACAAACAACCTCGCCTCACCCACCTCCATTTGTACCCCCATTCCCTCCACCAGCGCTTCTCGGCTCCTCGCCAGCTTCTCCTGAGGCATCCCAAACAACTCCACCCGCACCAACACCCACTCCACCACCCACTCCAACACCCACTCCAACACCCTCTCAACCACCCACTCCACCACCCACTCCACCACCCACTCCACCACCCACTCCACCACCCTCTCAACCACCCACTCCACCACCCACTCCACCACCCACTCCACCACCCTCTCAACCACCCACTCCACCACACACGGTCTCGCAAACCCAAACCGCAGCACATCACACGCCAGAACAATACCAGATAAACACCATCCAACCACTCTCAACCACTCACCTCCACTCGCACCCCTGTCCCTTCTACCACTGCTTCTCATCTCCTCGCCAGCTTATCAGCCGGCAGCCCAAACATCAGCCCCCGCTCACCCCAATGTCTCAAACCCAAACTATGGCGCACTGCACGCTCTCCTGACCACACACGGCGTCTCAAACCATACCCGCCAAACACCCTCTCCTGACTCACCTCCACTCGCACCCCTGTCCCTTCTACCACTGCTTCTCGGCTCCTCGCCAGCTTATCAGTCGGCAGCCCAAACACCACCACGCGCTCCACCACACACGGCGTCTCAAACGCCTGCCGCTGCGCTCCCAGCGAATGGGACGCCGCCACGTCATCGGGGTGCGGGAGCGAGCGCAGGATGCCGTTGGAGAAGAGAAATTGACGGTGGATGAAGGCTCCCTTCTCGTAGGCGTACGACTTGCCGTCATCGATGTACAGCTCTCCCTCGGCGTCCATGCTGCTGTTTAGAGCCACGACCTAATGGAGAAGGGAGGAACCAGGGAGGGATTCGAATGCAATCAGGACGTGGAAAGCGTGGGACTTGCGTCGTCAATGTACAGCTCGCCCTCTGCGTCCATGCTGCTGTTGAGAGCCACGACCTGCCATGGGAAAGAGAAGAAAGACTGAATTTGAACGCGATCAGGAAGCGGAATGTGTACGGCTCTCCATCGTGAATGTACAGCTCGCCCTCTGCTTACATGCTGCTGTTGAGAGCCACGACCTGATGGGGGGGGGGAGGGGAGTGAGAAGGGGATGAAATGCAATCAGGAGGCAGTGGTGGATGAAGGCGCCCTTCTAGCAAGCGAGTGCATGATTTTGCCGTCGTCGATGGTTGAGTGCATGACTTGCCGTCGTCGATGGTTGAGTGCATGACTTGCCGTCGTCGATGGTTGAGTGCATGCAGCACTTGCTGTTGTCGATGGTTGAGTGCATGCATCACTTGCTGTCGTCGATGGTTGAGTGCATGCAGCACTTGCTGTCACCGATGTTGAGCGCGCCCTCGCCGTCGCATTGCAAGCGCACTGCTGTCAAGGGTAGCCATGATCAATCTACCTCTCAAACAGGTCAGAACGACTTATGAAGGCGCCTCAAAACGCGCCCCAGCCCTCGCATTGCATGGGCGCTGCTGACAAGGGTAAGCGCAACTTGACAGCATGTTTTGAGACGTTTCAGAACATTACATGGGCGCTGCTGAGAAGGGTAAGCGCGCCTTGACAGCAGCGCCGATGCAATGGGTAAGCGCACTGTCAAGGGTAACCATGACTCATTTACCTCTCCAACAGGTCAGAAGGGAGTGACTTTTGAGTCGACTCAAAAGTCACCTCTGCTGTCAAGGGTAAGCACGCCTCTCGTTTACCTCTCAAACACGTCAGAATGGAGTATCAGTTTTAGAGCGCAGGGCTCCTTTCAACGCTCACCATTCACCCAAGTGGGTCCTTCTACTGCTCTGCAACTCCTGTGCTGCTCACAAGCGTGTAAGGGTCCTCTTGCGGGGAACAATGGAGCCAACACGCTAAAAGACCAGCATCGTCTTAAAAGACACGGGCAGCTTCATCTCTCCACTTGCGCGCACCTCACCTCACCAGGGCTGCTGCCCTCACCCACCACCACGCATGGACCCTTCATTTATCCACTCGTTCCCCCGCAATCCTCTCCACAGCGTGACGGAAAATCCTATGCACCATTGTCTCCTCCACTGCTCACTCACCAGCGTGAAAGGGCCCTTCTCCGTCTGTGTGCTGGACCGCCGCGCGCGGCCTTTGCCGGGCGCGAGAGAGACACAGCCATCTCCCTCTCCCCACTCGCGTGCGGCTGCCCAGAGGGCCCTTCTCTTCTATTTAGGTGCTCACTCTCAGAGCGCAAGGCTCGTCCCGCCACTCACCAGCGTGAAAGGGTCCTTCCCCATCTGTATGCTGGACCGCCGCGCGCGGCCTTTGCCGGGCGCGAGAGAGACACAGCCATCTCCCTCTCCCCACTCGCGTGCGGCTGCCCAGAGGGCCCTTCTCTTCTATTTAGGTGCTCACTCTTAGAGCGCAAGGCTCGTCCCGCCACTCACCAGCGTGAAAGGGTCCTTCCCCATCTGTGTGCTGGACCGCCGCGCGCGGTCCTTGCGGGGAACGATGGAGCCGGCACGCTGGAACACCGGCATCGTTGAGAGAGACACGGGCAGCTCCTTCTCTCCACTTGCGTGCGGCTGCCCGGTCTTCAAATCGTACCAGAACTCGCTGCCCGGAAACAAAACCTTCACTGACGTTGCGCCCTGAAGTCCAAGAAGCGGGGAGAATGGGGGAAACGGGAAGGAAGGCAGGGGGGGGAAAGAGGAGGGAGGCGAGGATATGGGAAGGAAGGGAAGAAGGAGCAGAAAAAGGGAAGGGTGGGAGAAGAGAGAAAAGAGAGGAGGCGAGGGGAAAGAGGGGATGAAAATTCAAGGAGAGGAGCGGGGCGACTCGATAACCCCCCTGGACCAAAACCAGGCACAGAACAGAAGTGATGAAAGCAGCTGGGAGGTGCATGGAGGTGCATGGAGGTGCATGGAGGTGCATGGAGGGGAGGGGAACTCGATGGGTCCCCATCTGGGAGTTAATAACTCACCTCCACAGTAACCGGGTGCACGAGCACGGAGGGCCCAGAAGAAACGAGTCCTGGTGGGTGAAGAGGCGCTGACCACTCACCTAGATGAGTGGGTGGAACTCTAGCCTTTCAGGAACAGCAGGTAACAAGCGTACCTCCACAGTAACCGGGTGCACGAGCACGGAGGGGCCCAGAAGGAACGAGTCCTGGTGGGTGAAGAGGCGCTGACCACTCACCTAGATGAGTGGGTGGAACTCTAGCCTTTCAGGAACAGCAGGTAACAAGCGTACCTCCACAGTAACCGGGTGCACGAGCACGGAGGGCCCCAGAAGGAAGGAGTCCTGGTGGGTGAAGAGGTTCGGGTCGGCTGGGAACACGAACCACAGCGGGCGCATGGGGGGCGTGCCGGCCGTGAAGGCGGTGCGGAACTGCGTGTACAGGTAGGGCAGCAGCGCGTAGCGCGTGCGCACTGCTTCCCTGATGTGCGACGTGTAGGGCTCACTGCATGTGGCAAAGGAAGGGGTAGGGGCGCATGGGGGATGTGCTGTGAAGGCGGTGCGGAACTGTGTAGATGTAGGGCAGCAGGGCGGGCGTAGCTCGTGCGCACTGCTTCCCTGATGTGCGACGTGTAGGGCTCGCTGCATTAAGGGGAACGGGGAAAGAAAGGGGTAACGAAGGGCATGCAGGCTGTGAAGGCAGTGCGGAACTGCATGTAGATGTGGGGGAGCAGCGCGTAGCGCGTGCACACCGCCTCCCAGATGCGTGAGGTGTACGGCTCGCTGCAAGGGAGGGGGGGGAGGACATGGGAGGAGGGGAGGAGGGGAGGGGGTGGGTTACTTGGGTGTCAAGGTAGGGGAGCAGCGCGTAGCGCGTGCGCACCGCCTCCCAGATGTGTGAGGTGTACGGCTCGCTGCAAGGGGGGGGGGGACGGGGATAGGGAGGAGAGGGTGGTTACTAGGGTGTAGATGTAGGGCAACAGCAGTACATAGAGCGTGTTCACCACCTCCCTGATGTGAGAAGTGTAAGGCTCGCTGCCTTTGGGAGAAAGGAGACAGGAAGGGGTAAGGGAGCATGGGGGGCGTGCCGGCCATGCTGCCCCCACGCTGCGCACCCCCAAGCTCCGCACCCCCAGGGACAGCACCACCCCAGCAGAACCGGAGTCACCAGTGACCTCAACAGGCGCAGGGACGGGAGGGTCTACCTGAGAAACACCTGAAGGAGCAGGGCCTGGCGCAGGGAGGGGGTCTACCTGGGGAGGACCTGGGGCGAGAAAGAGCGGCGGGAGGGGGCGAGGAGCAGTGCGGTAGGGGAAGAGGCGGTAAAAGGGGACCGACTCGTCAAAGGTGACGTCCTGAGACGCAAAGACACGGCACGAGGCGGGGTCGTGAAACTGCCAGCCAGGCGCGTCAGGGACAAAGCCAAGGAAGACGCAAGGAATGGCGCGAGGGGAGAGTTTGTCCGCAGCGGTATCGCGGACAAAAGCACGAGCACCCCAGACCCGGAAACGCGACGCGTCGCCAACCTTCCCCGTCCACAGCAGTGTGGGCGAGGTCTCCGGCAAGGAGACACGGGGCCAAAGGTTGAGCTGATGCGCGGCGTACCGGACCGCAAACGGCCACAGAAAATGGGGGGCAGCCGCATGGATCATGGAGGTACGAGCGACCTCCATGACTAAGCCAATGCGGCGCTCAGCAACCCCATTCTGCTGCGGAGAGGCCGGAAGAGCGAAAGTCTGGCGGATGTCGTGCTCCGCACAGAAGGCCACCAGGAGGTCTGAGGAGAACTCACCACCTCTGTCAGAGTGCAGACGCAGGACAGGAAAGTCCGACTGGAACCGCTCGCGGAGCTGGAGACGAGCAGCGCGGATCTAGGGGATCAAAACATCAGGGACATCCCCCCTCCTCCCCCACCGCCGCTGCTACCACCTCCACCGCTCCCAGTGCCTCCGCCGCCCCCACCACCACCTCCACCCCCACGAGCGCCTCCACCACCTCCACCTCCCCCGCCGCCTGCACCACCGCCACCTTCACCGCCACCCCCACCTCCCCTGCCACCCTTGCCGCCCCTGCCGCTGCGACGCTTCCCACTAGGAGCGGAAGCAGCCCCGACCTCCTCAGCACCAAGGTAGTCGTGAGCAGCAGCTGCGGAGGCATAGGGGGGGGTGAGAGGGGAGGGGGAGCACCCCTCAAAGAGGGGAGAGGGAGGTGTCAAACATTATATATGTTGTGTTAGTTTAGGCTACAGTGGGTTAGCCTATAGGGGGTACACAATTCTAGGGTTAGGTACTTGTACTCTTTTCATTGCCAGTTCATTCATTCCTGTTCAGTGATTCCAACATGGTATAGAGCAGGTCCTTCCTAGGACCGAAATTTTCTAAGGGCCCACCACTACGTAACTACCTACCTACCTACCTACCCGTGCCCTAGGGCGCCTCGGCGTGTCACGCCCCTAGAGGCCCCTCTTGACGGCCCCGCGCTAGCCCCGTTCAGGCCCCGTCGGCCCCTTTAAGGCCCCGTTCAGGCCCCGCGCTAGCCCCGTTTAGGCCCCGTCGGCCCCGTTTCAGGCCCCGTCGGCCCCACGCTAGCCCCCCTCAGGCCCCGTCGACCCGCGCTAGCCCCGTTTCAGGCCCCGTCGGCCCCTTTTCAGGCCCCGTCGGCCCCGCGCTAGCCCCTCTCAGGCCCCGTCGGCCCGCGCTAGCCCCCCGTTTCAGGCCCCGTCGGCCCCGTTTCAGGCCCCGTCGGCCCCGCGCTAGCCCCTCTCAGGCCCCGTCGGCCCGCGCTAGCCCCGTTTCAGGCCCCGTCGGCCCGCGCTAGCCCCGTCTCAGGCCCCGTAGGCCCCGCGCTAGCCCCTCTCAGGCCCCGTCGGCCCCGCGCTAGCCCCATTCAGGCCCCGATCGGGCCCGCGCT